AATGGGTCTTTCCTCCTCAATACGTGCTCCCGACGGTGCGTTCCCTCCAAACGGTGGAAAACCGAGCACTTGGAGTGGCGGTCTAGGGCCAGGCATCGACGGCGGCCGTTTGTCGGTCCATGCTGCCCTGAAGTCCTCGTTTAGATTTCTCGACAGTCCCTCCTTCTCTGCCACGTCAAACAGATCGGAACTAGGTGCAAAGCTCTTATATCTGAAGTGAACCGGTGGAATTGAGCTCCGGTCTGTTCGAATTGCCTCCAAGTCGTCCGTAGACCGCTGTGAACATCTGCAAGAACTCAATACCGGAAGTGTTTCCGCTGAAGAGCCTCCGACGCTCAAGTCAGTGAAAGAGAAGAAGATGAGCTCTGCTCAGTAGGAGCAGCAACTGAAGAATGAATGGAGAGAGTAAAAATTAGGGTTTGGGGTTACCTCAGCTCCTTTATATAGGACTAGAAACACTTACTTGAAGTACCTAAAATACCCTGGCCGACTTACACGAAGTGTCCAAAATGCCTGGTCGGTTCGCATTCCGCCCACTCCTGAGTCAGCATCTAGATTCCTTCTTATCCTATGTAAGCCCAGTCTCACTAAGAGATTTTCCCTGTGTTATATTCAAGTGCATCGAGTCGTCGGAGGTCTCTTTAAGTCGACTTTGGATACCGTCAAATCGACCTAAACTCATATGCGTATTGCGGGCATTCCGTCACGCCTACTCGTCTTTTATGAAAGAACTCGACTTATCACAAGTCGACTTGGTAAAATCGTCTCGAGATTGTTGTCAGGTTAATGGCGATCCTCGGATGACTAGTGGGCCAAGTCGACTTCGGCGACGTCGACTCCACAATGTCGTCAGCAGTACTTATTTAGTCGAGTGACTAGCACTTGAACCGGACTATGATAATAGGGCTATATCACAGGGGTTGCCAGAGCTAGAAAACGACGAGGGCGGTATGAATGAAGTCGCTGGTGGTAGTGGGCTTCCCATGGCTGCACGAGCTGGGAGGACGACAGAAACTGAGGTGCGGTGGCATGAAGAAGCTGCGATGGCGAGGTGGCAGCGGGTTTGGTCGCTGGAGCTGTAAACGGCGGCGGCTCGCCGGAGCTCGGGGGTGGTGGCCAGATTTTATGTAGATGGAGGTGATGGTGGAGCTTGAACTTGAATGAGGGAGATAATGAATAGTAAATGGTGGGGTAAGTGTGTTATTTATAGTGGTGTAGGAATAATTAGCGTAATATCCCATTCAGTAATTAATAAAAGTAATTATTTTAGTTCTGAGTTTGAAATAAATTACTTTTATTAATAATGCTCGTTTCTAGTTGAGAGTCCAGTTATTAAGTTATAAGTTATAAGTTTGAATTTAAGTTGAAAGTATTCTCGGTTAAATTTTATTTAGTAATCGAGCCAGTTCATTAATTAATTCCAGTCCGTTTATTTTTAGAAATGGATTTTATTAGTAGGGATTAATTATTTCGAATTGTTTGATAAGTTTATGATTAATTTGACATGAGTGTCTAATTTAATCATTTGAGTAAAATAATTTATTTAGACATTTTAGTCTATTTAAATTATTAAGAGAAATATGAAGGTTTTAAAATTTTTGGGTTTTTTTATTTTCGATTGTAGTCGGAATTTAAGTCCAATTTCACTTCCAGATAATAAATTAAATTATTTCCTATCTATATTTTTAGTAGACTATAAGATAAAAAAAAGTTTTTTTAACATTAAAAGGAAAAATGCCAAAAGAAAAAGAAGGAAATATGAAATTGTTAGATTTTTCGATTTTACGGTAATTGTTCGCTTTAAGTCAGAATTTGGTTTTGTAAAATGGAGATTTTTCATTAAGTCACGAATTTTATCATCAAAATCAGAGTGAGATAAGATGATATATCACCAAATGGCCATTTATAAGCATTGACTATAGATTGTTAAGTTTATAAGTTAAGATTTCCATTTATTATCTTTATTTATTTTTACAAGTTTTGATTGTTTATTAGGTTTATTTCTTTACTCAATCATCTTGTCCCCTATTTTGTGGCTATAAATAGAGGCCTTAAATCAGATTATTTTCATCAAAGAAAAGTTTCAAAAGTTATATAAATCATTAGAGAGAAATAAGTTGTGGGAATTTTGGAGAGGTGAAGAATTAATTTTCAAGTTCAAATTTTAGTTTCAAGCAAGAAGAAGAGGTAATAAGTCATTCTTTTAGCATGATAATTTAAAGTGCCTTAATATGTGTTAGAATGTGATAATGTTCCAGCCTTTAAGTATTATAATCATGTCATGAAGTAAGAAGTTATGCTAGATCGTATGCATGATTGTTATGTGTTGTTGATTTTGAAATTAAGCATTCTATGTATAACCTGGTATGTTAAGCTTATTATATCTATTTCTTGTGTAAATGAAGAGTACATAGGAGTAAGAATCATGTCTTTTGGTTAAGTATAGCTCGAGTTATAAATTTTTAAAGTTTATCATGCAAGTTAAATTTTATGTACATGTTTCCAACAGTGACTTTGAACGGGAATAAGTTGAGATATATGCATGATAAAATTATAAAATTTTTATGACATTTCAACATATGTGTTGAGATCATGCTTGCCAAATTTCATGATTTTAAGTTGAGAAATGAATGAGTTAAAATGTTTATACCCCATGCATGTCAAGATGATTTTATATGCAAGAGTACTCAGTCCAAGTTCGGGTTTTAACATGAATCTTTTATGTAAAATTCTCACATGAGGGATTAACAATTTGACCAAGTTTCAGCTTAATATGTTGATTATATGGTTTTATAAAATTGTTGAAGTTTCGCATGTAAATAGCATATTTTCATGTTATGATTAGCACTTAAGTTAAATGAGCTTTAAATTCAAATTTTTAGTACAAAGCATGTTTAAGCCGAGTTTGATAGCTATAAATCCTTATAAATTATGTATATGATGTTGGTAAAAGTTGAGCATGTTTTGAGTTCATGTACTTGGTCATCTATTATGTGAAATTTAGCTTATTTTCACTTCCGAGTCATTTTAATTTACATGAGAGTATAAGTCAATATCTAAGATTCAGAAATCATGATTTATATGGTTTAAGTTTGGCATTAAGTAAAAGTTCAAGTTAAGTTGTTCAATGAATTAGTATTCATTTGAGCTATAGTCGATTTTTTTTTTAAATTCCTATAAGTTATCAGTTGAGGTTAAAACATCTTATTGAATATATGAGCATAGTACTTAGTATATTTGTGTATATTTTTATGTAGCTTGAGGAGTTAGCTACCCAAGAGCAACACTTACAATTTTCAAACATTTTCGAAGAAGAAAGGTGGGGACCCAGCCTGCGTATTACATTGTGTATAATAGCTATTATCATGTCAAAGGTATGTATATGAGTTATCCGCTTTGGGTGGAGGCCAGTTGCCTTAATATTCCATCCCGAGTTTTGGTTGAGGCACAGTAGCCTTAATATGCCATCAGATTGTGCACACGGTTACGGACATAGTGTCCGAAAGATTTAGTTCAGTTACCGACCTAGTGTCGGGAGATTACAGTTTACTTATATATACCTGCGATCATGATATTGATATTATTATTAATGTTTACTTTAGTATGAGTTTTCACGGAGTACAGTGGACTAGTACTCACTCCCCATTATTATCATTTTCAGGTAACAGGGTCGGTGTGGAGGTGTGAGATCAGCTGTGGTGATGTTGGTCGTGAATTTGGTTCAATTGCTATTATGGACTTTTAATAAGGTTTCAGTTTGTAATTATTATGCCACGCTTGCAAGATTTCCGCTACGTTTTCAAATTCGAACATGTGTGACAGTATTTTCAGACTTAAATAATTTATCTGTTCGCCAGTATGAACAGGTCCAGTTTACATACTTGTTCGATATTTAAAATGTGTTTTATTTATGTCTAACCCAGTTGCTAGACAAAGTTTTTAAGAAAACAGATTTTCTACAGCAGATAAGTTTTAGTAGCATCCCGAGTAAAGCTAAAAAGATTTCGAAAAATTTATGATCATTTTCGAAATATATTGCGAAAAATTTACTCTGATAAGCGGGGTGTTACAGTTGTTATCAGAGCCAAAGTTCAAGTGCTCTGTATAATAAAAGTTTAAGTTTTCAAAAGGGAAGTTTCAGGAAAACCGACCACACCACACTCACACCTCGCCGACTACCAGGTAAGTGCTGTTAAAAGTTTTTACAAAAGTTTTTTTTTTAAATATATGCAAATTACTAAGTCTATTCTCAA